AGAGGTGGCCGCTCGCCAGCACCGGCCCGCCAGCGCGGCAGGCAGGCTGAATCGGCCTGCCCCTCGACGGGAGGAGTATTTAAAACGACGCGAAGATCGGGACAACATCGGATCGGGATAACTCGAAATCTCTGAGAATCGGCGGGTTTGGAGGATGTATTGGGCGCCGCGGCCGCTCCAGAGCGTTCCGGAACGCTCTGAGAGCGCTCCGGAACGCTCTGGAGCGATTTCTCCCGATCCTGGCCCTGTTTTAGTATTCCCAAAGAGTCAAACAATAGTCTGGGGACGGTTTCTCTGGGACTGGTGCTGACCCTCCTGGGGTACTCTTTTTGACTATCTGCTGCTCTTCGTGCAAGATCCGCCGGTAGGGGGACACGCCCGATCTAAAGGTAGGCAGCCAGCCGGGCCGCGCATGGCGCGATCGTGCTGGACCAGCCGCCGCAGCAACACCAGCAGCAGCAGCAGCAGCATAGACTCCATCCAGGAGGACAGCAGTTGTTCTGCGGACGCAACAGAATCGCAGACCATGGGCTCAACGGAGGCGGACAGCAGGGAGCGTGAAGTGCATCCGTTTAAGGTCGCACCAGGTGCGCGCTCCAATGAGATCCACACTTCGAAGTATCGATGGTACACCTTCCTGCCGTACAACTTGTACGATCAGTTCCACAACCTTGCAAACATCTATTTCCTCATCATCGCGATGCTTCAGACAATCCCTTCGGTGTCAATCACCTCTGGCCGACCGCTGCTATTGGCGCCCCTGGGCTTTGTGCTGTCGATTGCGGCGGTCCGCGACCTGGTCGAAGATCAGAAGCGCAAGTCCGCGGACCGCGCTGAGAACGAGCGTCCCGCCTGCCGCTTGGACGCGCTGCAGCGCCAGGTTTCCTCAAGGTTGATGGGCCTGCTTTCCACCACCACCACCACCACCATAAGTTGGATGGGGGGAAGGAGGAGGAGGAGGAGGAGGAGGAGGAGGAGGAGGAGGAGGAGGAGGGAGAGGGAGGAGGGGAGGAGGAGGAGGAGGAGGAGGAGGAGGAGGAGGAGAGGATGAGGAGGGGGGGGAGGAGGAGGAGGACCCCCTCCCCCTCCAGCTTAAGCTGCTGGTGGTGGTGGTGGTGGAAGGCCCCTCAGAGGTGGTGTGACGTGCGGCCCGGGCACGTCCTGAGGCTCCGGCGCGGCGACCCCGTGCCCGCCGACGCGCTGCTGCTGAGCTCCAGCGAGCCGTCCGGGTCCTGCGCGGTGGAGACCTCCAACCTCGACGGCGAGACGAGCCACAAGCAGAAGGTCGCCACCCACCAAACCACCCCAACCCAACCCGAAGGCCCACATTTATCCTCGATTTCCAGTGGGGGGGGGGGGGTCGGGGAACACTGAAAAAAAACACATGGAACCCGTACCCCCCCCAACCCGAAATTCGATTCAAATTCGGGTCCTCGGGTTGGGTTGGGGTGGTCTGGTAGGTAGTCAGAAGGTCCCAGTGCGCCCAGAAGGTTTCGATCCCCAGGAGGCCGAACGAGCCTGGGCCATCAGGTTCGAGGCGCCGTCCGCAGACCTGTACCAGTTCAGGGGTCAGCTGCACGTGGCCGGGGCCCACCGGCCCGTGGGCCTATCCGCCGGCAACCTGCTGCTGCGGGGTAGCTCGATGCAGGACGCCGAATGGGCCGACTGCCTGGTTTGCTACGCGGGCCACGACGCGAGGATCATGAAGAATTCGCAGAGTGCTCGCTTCAAGACCAGCCAGCTGGACAAGGCGATGAATCGCGTCATCAGAATAACATTCTTGATTCAGATGGTCCTCTGTCTGATTGGTGGCTTCTCAGCTGCCACGTGGGAGGCTCGGGATTCCGCGGAGGCTCAGTATTTGATGCTCGGGAACGCTGTGGGCATTCGGATGCAAAGTTTGGGAATATTCGGCTTCCTGGGAAGCTTATTGACCAAGGGGGCCACGTGGCTGCTGCAGCTGAACAACATGGTGCCCATCTCGCTGGTCGTGATGATGACGACCGTGAAGTACCTTCAGGGAAAGCTCGTGGAGATGGACGAGGTCCTAGTGGACAGTCGTTTGAAGAGGCACGCCGAGGTGCACACCAGCCAGGTCCTCGAGTCCTTGGGTATGGTCACTCATATCTTCTCCGACAAGACAGGGACGCTCACTTGCAACGAGATGGTGTACAAGGCGTGCAGCGTGGCTGGCCGCATCTTCGGCCTGGACGCGCCAGAGGGCAGGGCTGCAGCCGAGGCGCCGCGCGGCGCCCACGCGGACTTCGCCGCGGGAGGCCAGGAGCTCCTGAGCGCCATGGGCTCGCAGGACCCGCAGCAGATGGCGGCGATCGCGAGCTTCGTCTTGTGCCACGCGCTCTGCCACACCGTCAGCGTGCACGGCGCCGAGTACGTGGGGCCCTCGCCGGACGAGCTCGCCCTCGTGTGGGCCGCGAGCGAGGTCGGCCTCCACTTCCGGGGGCGCTCGCGGCAGCTGGCGGAGCTCGAGGCCGAGAACGACGAGCGACTGCTGGGAGCGCTGGCGGTGGCGCTGGGTGGGCCCCTGCCACCGCCCGAGAAGCCGGACGCGCCGCGCAGCCTCAGGCTGGAGGTGCTGGACATCTGCGAGTTCGACAGCGACCGCAAGCGGATGTCGGTCATCGTGCGCTACCCCGATGGCCGCGCGGTCCTCCTGCTGAAGGGCGCCGACAGCGCCGTGCTGCCCTCGGTGTCGGCCGCCAGCGGCTCCCGGGAAGTGCACCAGCACCTGCACCAGTTCGCCAGCCGAGGCCTGCGAACCCTGTGCGTGGCCTCGAGGGACCTGCCCGAGGAAGAGTACCGCGCATGGGCTCTTCGCTACAGGGCGGCGCTGGCGTCCCTGGGCGAGGACCGCGCCGCGCAGGCGCAGGAGCTGGCGGAGGAGCTGGAGACGGCGGCCGGCCTCGGGCTGCTGGGCATCACGGCCATCGAGGACAGGCTGCAGGACGGCGTGCCCGAGACGCTCGAGAAGCTGCAGCGCGCCGGGATCGTCGTGTGGGTGCTCACGGGCGACAAGATGGAGACCGCCATCAGCATCGGCCGCTCGTGCCGGCTGCTGCACCGAGGCATCGAGAACGTGGAGCTGGCCGGCGGCGGGCCGCAGAGGGGCGCGCTGGAGGGCGTGCGGGCGCGGCCTCCGCCCGCCCAGGGCCGCGCCGTCACCATCGACGGCGAGTGCCTCGCGAGGGTGCTCGCCGACGGGGACCTGCGCCGGCTCTTCCACGAGGTCGCGAGCGGCTGCAAGACTGTGATCTGCTGCCGAGTGTCACCGAAGCAGAAGGCTGACGTGGTCCAGATGGTGCAGAGTCTGGACACGTTCAGCCCGGTGACCCTTGCGATCGGGGACGGAGCCAACGACGTGTCCATGATCACTGCGGCCAGCGTCGGCGTCGGCCTGTCCGGCAAGGAGGGTGCACAGGCGGCGCGCAGCGCCGACTTCGCGATCGGGCAGTTCCGGTTTCTGCAGCGGCTGCTGCTGGTGCACGGGTGCGAGAGTTACAGGAGAAATTCCGTGGTCGTCCTTTACAATTTCTACAAGAACTTCGTTTTGGTTATGCCCTCTTTCTTGTTCGGCTTTGCGATGGCGTTCAGCGGGCAGCCCTTCTACGAGCAGATTATGTACCAGCTGTACAATGTCTTTTTCACTTTCTGGCCTGTCGTCCTCTACGCCATCCTGGACCGCCCCGCCTTAGACCTGGCCTCGCTGGAGGAGGACCCGACAACCTACGCACCAGGGCGGCGCCAGCTCTATTTCAACCCGAAGGTGTTCTCCTTCTGGATGGCAGCGGCGCTGCTCCAGGGCTTCTTGCTGACCGTGGGGGCTTTCTTTGGGTATGCTGACGGCGACAAGCCGACGAGCGAGGTGCCCACGTTGGACGACATGTGGCTCACCGGTACGGTGGTATTTTATTGGGTCGTGCTCGGTGTGAACCTGACGCTGATCAGAAGGCTACGGGCCGTCATACCGCTCGTGGTGTTTGTCACTGTCGTTTGTGTCCTGAGCTTCCCAGCGAGCGTCATGATGCTTGATTTGTCTGGCTCGGTCTTTTTGCACGGGATGTTCAATATCATGTTTGGGCCTATGTGCATTCGATTTGTCTTGGCGAGTGCTCTTATAATGGTGACATTCATGCTCGTAGGGGAGCCCCTGATTCTGATTTCTGAATCGCGTGCCTATTCGGCAGCCTTGGCGGAGCCTGATCAGGAGCCGCTCCTTCCTGACGGTGAATGAATGCCGGGGCATGCAAGTGCGAGCTGGCGCCCCATGAAGGCCCCCCCGTTCGTCGGATCGGCGGAGCCGGGCCGATCCAAGACATGGGGGGGAGTAATGGACGAGGGTGAACGCCATCTGCGATCACTGTGGTGGTGATGGTGGGATTTGGCTGTTTGCCTGCCGTAGAATTGTTTCACACATGCCACGCAAGGCTGCTTCCCGGTCGAGAGGAAGCTGCAATTGTACAGGATGATGCCATCATGCAGCTATCCTGCAGACGACGGTCTAACGCTTCGTCGCTGCCAGGGCCCGTTTGAGCCAACTGACTCCCGACGAAGTGCGTGCAGCAGGCGGTGGAACAACTGCTCCAGCGCCCGTGCTCTCGCTTTTCCACTCGCTGCGCCACGCTGGCGGCCCGCGACGGCCATTGAGGCCCAGTGTGTCCGTCGCCCGTGTGCCGAGCCAGAAAGGATCGGGGGAGCGTAAGACCCGGGTTTGCCAGGACTCGGGCTCGCCATCGTTTTTTGACGACCGCGCCTCGGATTTTGGCGAGGAGGAGTTTCGTGGGATGTCTGCAGCGGGAGGCCCCGCCAAACTGCAGGCTCGGCCTCGTCCTTTTTCTGGCGACCTCGTCGGGGATCTCCGAGCCCTCTGTGCCCAGGTCCTGCGCCCCCCTGAAAGGGGCCTCGCCCTCGGGAGTCGGAGGTGGCCGCTGCCGCACCTCCTCCTCGGCGGGGCGTGGCGGCGGCGGGGGCGGCGGCCAGGCGGCGGAGGGGCAGAGACGGGGGAGCGGCGCCGCCGGCGGAAGCCTGCGGGGGGCCGGCGGCGGCAGGGCGGAGCTGGAGGCACGGGGGTCCGTGCAGACGGGGGTCAGGAGGAGGAGGAGGAGGAGGAGGAGGAGGAGGAGGAGGAGGAGGAGGAGGCCAGGGCTCAGCGAGCGAAGAACGCTATGAAATACACTTTTTCGCCGTCGGGGGCGTCTGTCCCTGGGCGGCTGGAAAGTTTATACCCCTACGGTGCAACCGTAAGTGTATGAACTTTCCAGCCGCCCTGGGACAGACGCCCCCGACAGCGAAAAAGTTTATTTTATACCGTTCTTCGCCCGTTGAAGGGCGCCGGATCAGGATCACGCAGGGCCAGCGACGCATGGGCCCGGGCCTGGGCGCGGGATCCTGTGGGGTCCTGCGGGATCCTGCGCAAGGCCTCACCGGCCCCGGCCTGCGTCGGCCCGGGCCAGTGCGTCCCCCGGGCAGAGAGCGGCTTCCCTGGCCCAGCCACGCGCAGAGGGGGCTGGGGGGAGGGGGGGAGGCCTTCTTAGAGGGCGCGGGCCTTATCTCTAGATGTAAGGCCGGCGCCTTCTGAGGAGCAGCCTCCTTCTAAGAAGCCCTCTCCCCTCCCTCCACCCCTTGTGCGCGCCGCCAGAGGAGGCACCTGCGCCCCTCCGCGGCCCAGGGTGAGCCTGGCCTGCGGCGGTGGACGCGTACAGTCGGGGCCCTGAAGAAGGAACGCTTTTCGTTGGGGAGGGGTTCGGTGTTCCTTAAGTGTTTCACAGCTTGCCTCAGGTTTTCCTTATGTTTTCGGTAGGAACTCGAAGTTTAACTCGTGGACAAAAGGGGCCTCGTGCCTTATTTAGGGTTCCTTAGGTCAACGCCCCGACTGTAGACGGTCGGACCGAAGTACAGGATCGAGGTCGGCTCGGGGATGGTGCCCTGGTGCTCTTGGTGCTTCTTGGATGTTCCTGTGCATCTGCGTGGGGTGCCCTCGGATGCTCTTCGGCTTGGCCGGCGGAGGGCCTCGTGCTCTCGAGGGCTGCGCTTCTGTCCCGGGGCCGGCCGTCGACCTCGACGCCCCGAGTCGGGTGCCCTCCTGTGGGGCTCCTGGACATAAAACGACGCGAAGATCGGGACAACATCGGATCGGGATAACTCGAAATCTCTGAGAATCGGCGGGTTTGGAGGATGCATTGGGCGCCGCGGCCGCTCCAGAGCGTTCCGGAACGCTCTGAGAGCGCTCCGGAACGCTCTGGAGCGATTTATCCCGATCCTAGCCCTGTTTTACTCCTGTGGGACTCCTGGACATGGTCCGAGCTGATGGGGTCGGAGGATCGCGCCGCATCGGCGACGCATCGACGATGCGGCTCGATGCGTAGCCAGAACTGCTCCACGCCGACGGCGCCGATGCATCGGCGATGCGGCGCGATCCTCCGACCCATCTGCTCGGACCCCATTTAGGAGGCCTCTACCTCCCCCCTCTCCAGACTCGGGCATTGCATTATGATGTTCCAACCTACTTTAGCCTTGACCACCAGAAAGAATTTCGAGCACCAGAAAAAATACGGAAACTCGAGGGTTTTCACGTGCCGGGCCCTGGGAGACACTCGTCCGACACTGTTTCGACACTGTTTCGATACTCTTTGGACACCTTTCCGGGTGCTCGAAATTATTTCTGGGATGTGGTCCTTAAGTGCGATGGGAGCAACATAAGCATTGCAGAACGCCCACCCGTACAAGTCGACTGAGGACATCGGCCCGGGTTCACTCGACATTTCTGTTCGAGTGTGTCGGTGCAGTCCCTAGTCCTGGATACAGTCTGCCCACTCGGAATGCGGTGTCGTTCGCACGTGAAGTGCCCCTGGCAGTTTCACTAAAAGGTATTTTGCTAAACTGTGTGTGTTGCCAATCTTCGACAGACATGCCCACGTGGTGGCAAAAGGATGACGGGAGGTTTTGGCAGTTTTCGGCCCCTGGGGGCCCTCGCCAGACCTCAGGAGCGTCCGAAATCGACGGTGAAACACTGGGGCTGGAGCAAGGTCGGGATTTCTGGGGACCCCGTGTGGAAATCGACTAGATGCAAGAGTGACCCTTCGCTGGAGTGACCCTTGGTGCGGGCCCAACGGGGCCCCCCTCATCGCCGAACGCGGTGCGATAGATAGGGTCTTGCGCGCTTGTGCTTGGTCCCCGCGCGGCCCCCCAAAAGCCGCGCACCGAAGGGCACCCTTAACCCAGGGGCACTCTTGTTCGGATGCAACTCCTGGGAGGTCACATTCTGATTCTGCCCTGTTCCGAAGTCCAGCTTAATCCGGCTTACTCCGGCTTAATCCGTCCTGATCCCGCTTAATCCCGCTTGACCCGGCGCAATCCCGCTTAATCCGAAGCCCACTCCAGCGCAAGAGCCCCCCAATGGGGCTTAATCCTCCATGATCCTTCCGAGGAAGGCCTCCCAGTAGTTGCCGCCTAGCTCTTGCGTGCAGCCGAGCCGAGGAGAAGTCAAGACACCGCATGCCTGGGCTCGTGCCTCCGCTGCTGCAGCGCAGGGCGGTCCCGCGAGGGGCACCGACCTCGGTGCCCTCTCGCCTTCGGTGGCAGCCCGGTGCAGGCCGGCGGAAGGCGAAGCGAGACTCTGGGCCCTCCTAGGTGTAGGTGTGGTCGCAGTCGATGGGGTCGGAGGATCACGCCGCATCGCCGAGGCGTTTTCGACGCGGCTCGATGTGGCGCCCGATTTGCTTCGTTGTCGACGTTGCCGGTGCGTTGTTGACGTTGGCGGTGCGTCGCCGGTGCATCCCCGATGCATCGCCGAGATGCCTCGCCGCTGCGGCGCCAGGCTCCGACCCCAGCTGCTCCGGCCCCATGCAGGAGGCCTCTACGGAACGAGAAGCGAGGCGCCAGCACTGTTGGGGTCGGGGTTTCTGGGCTCGGGGTTGCCCACATCGGGCCCGCAGTGCGGTCGGACCGAGGTACAAGATTGAGGTCGGTTCGGGGAGGGTGCCCCAAAAAATCGTGGGGAGGGTATTGGGCGTTAGTGTGCATCCTTGGGGAGGGTACCCTTGGATGCTCTGTGTGTTTTGGCTGGCGAGGGGGTTTCGCGTTCTTCAGGGGTCTTCTGCTGGCCTCGGTCCGACTGTACGCATGATCCACTGCCCGTTCAGGTCTGCAACGCACGTGCACTGCAGACCCGGACGGTGGGTGGAGCAGCCTGGTGCGTTACACTGTCCCGATCGACCATTCTTCCTCCTCCTCCTCCTCCTCCTCCTCCTTTGCACCCTCTTCCTCCTCATCCTCCTCCTCCTCCTTTGCACCCTCTTCCTCCTCCTTCTCCTCCTCCTCCTCCTCCTCCTCTTCCTCGTCCTCCTCCTCCTATGCACCCTTTTCCTCCTCCTCCTCCTCCTCCTCCTCCTCTTCCTCCTCCTCCTCCTCCTTTGCACCCTCTTCCTCCTCCTCCTCCTCCTCCTCCTCCTCCTCCTTTGCACCCCGCCCTCGGCATTTTTCCGCGCCCCCGCGTCGGGCCCGCCTGCCGCCCCGCTCCTGCCCCTTCCGGCCCCCGCCGTGCGGCTGCGCCGGCCCCCCTGGGCAGGAGAGCGGGTGCACCGCGGTCGTGGCGTCCGAGAGCGCCAAGCTCTTGTGGGGCCGGGGCGGAGCAGAGCGTGGCGAGCAGAGCGTGGTTCGACAAGGCGTAAGGGTGAACTCCTCCTCCTCCTCCTCCTCCTCCTCCTCCTCCTCCTCCTCCACCCTCTCCTTCTCCTCCTCCTCCTCCTCCTTCTCCTCCTCCTCCTCCTCCTCCTCCTCTTTCGCTGGAGTGACTTTTGGTGCGGGGGTCCCCGATCGCCGGACGCGAGGCGGCAGTGGCGTCCTGCGCGCTGGTGTGTGGCCCCCCGCGGCCCCCAAGAAGCCGCGCACCAAAGGTCGCCCTTGCCCAGGGTCACTCTTACGCGTAGCCGGGGTGAGCAGAGCGTGGTGTCGGGGAAGCTTAAGACTCGGGTGCGCCGGAGCTCGGGTTTGCCGACGCTCGTCGACGAGCGCGTCCTGGATTCTGACGGTTCAGTTTTCGTGGGATGCTTGCAGCGGGAGCGCGCGTCAAATTTCAGACCGGGTCTCGTCATGTTCATGATGGCACCGTCAGGCCAACCCGAATCACCCGAACCCGAGTCTTGCGTCTCTTTGATAATGGACGTAACTGCCAGGGTGCACGTTGCTGCAACGTTGGAAACACACAAGCAGCAGTGCACTTGGGAAAGCCTGGGAAAGAATCGCCTGGGAAAGAAGGTTGACAAAAAGTGGAAGGATCGGGAAGGAAGGGGAAGGGATCGGAAGGATGAGAAGAAGGGAGGGAAGGGAGAGAAAGGGAAGAGCGAGGAAAGAGAGCGGAGGGGGGATAAGGGATGGGGCAGGAGTGCAGGCCGTTGGCGATGGCGGAGTGGAAGAGCGAGGGGGCGGGGAGGGCGAGCAGGAGGAGGATGGAGAGGAGGATGAAGCGGAATGCTAGGAGGATGAGGAGGAGTAGAAAAAGGAGGAGGAATGCGGAAGGAGGCAGAGCAAGAAGAAGGAGGTGGGAGAAGGAGGATCATGATGGGCGAGGCTGACAAGTAGTAGCGACGACGGCGACGACGATGATAATGTGGATGCAGATGATAACATATAAAATCATGCGGACATTGATGATCAGTATGATGATGGAATGATGATGCTGATGATGATGAGGATGATGATGCTGCTGATGATGATGTGGATACTCGTGAGGCTGCTAAGGGTGATGATGCTGATGATGCTGATGATGGCGATGATGATGCTGTTGCTGATGATGATGCTGATGATGATGATGCTGATGACGATGATTGTTATGATGACGGTGATTGTGATAAAGGTGATGATGGTACTGATCGTGACGATGGTGGTGGTGGTGATGAACATGAGGATACTGAAGACGGAGATAAAGATCATGATGCCATCGTCGA